TAAATGCAATTAAGGGAAGCGTGCGTGGGGGAGAGAGGTATGTATTAGAGAGAGAGAGTGCTGTAAGTGTGATGACAGAGTGCCATAAATGTGATGGTGGGGGGAGAGAGAGTGCAATAAAAAATATATGTGATGGAGAGAGCGAGACGTGTGTATGGGGGAGGGGAGAGAGTGTCATAAATGTGATGGCGAGAGAGTGAGAGTGCCATGAAGAGTGCATAAATGCAATGGAGAGAGTACCATAAATGTTATGGCTTTCTCGCTTTCATTGTCTTTCTTTTTCCTTATTTTTTTAAGCTAAGGATGGTGCCTAGGAAACGTTGCGCCCAAATTTTTCATTATCAGTTGCCCAAAGAATCTCCAAAGTTTATCGAATTCTTCAAATCCGGTCAAAGATTTTGATGTGGAATTTCATTGCTTTAATCCCCCTTTAAACCATGAAAAATGGTTCTAAGGGGTTTTGGGCGTTGTATACCACCACCACCCAAAAATAAGATATAAAAAATAAATGAAACTTTCTTTCCTTTGCAAGGGGGAATGATTGAATCTCGTGGATAATTTTCCACTTGCAGATGCGGTCAATGTGCCCATTGTGTGGGTGCATCATGAAATCCCATATATGCACCGATGAGTGTTTTGCAGCTTCATTTGATTACTTTGCATTTTCCTCTCTCCATGTGTGGCCAAAACAGATTTGCGGGAACATTGAGTTTGTTCGTCTCTTCAAAGATATCCTTTTGGGATGAGGGTAGGGGGATATCTTTTTGGCCCAACTGATGGCATGTATGGAGTCACCCTCCAACACCAAGGAAACTCAAGGTTGCTGGAACAATTTGAGCCTTGCTAGTAGTGCCTTTGCTTCAGTCACCATTGCTGATGTGTTACCTATAGGGCCTAAGAGATAGTATTATCAAGTTTGTAATCTCCTTAAAAAGTTTGCCAATGTGGATTTCGATCCAGTTTGGCGGATCGGCAATCCGGCTAAGCAAACCGGTCATTTAATTTTTTTTTTTTTAAAAAGTGAAAAAATATAAAAAAGTGGGACCGGTTCTATCAGAGAACCTGGGGCAGAGTCATGGGGGGAACCAGCCAGTTGTTGATATCTAGCGGGAATCGGTTTGGCCCTGACGATTCTTGATCTGGATCAGGCATTTCCAATCTTGGTCGACGTTTTTTTTTAACCTTGTTGCCAATAAATGTCATTATCATATAGCCTTTTCCCAATTAGTTGGGGTCGGCTACACGAGTCTTGGTTCGCCATTCTGTTTTATTTTAAGACCATACCCTCAGTGAAGTCGTAAGTCCCCATATCTTTTGGAACTACTTCCAATCACGTCCTTTTGGGCTTATCCTTTACCTTTTTCAATCCTTCCGCTTGAACTAACTCGCACCGCCTAACAGGTGTTGTACTGGGTCGACGCCACACATGTCCAGCCCACCTAAGTCTACTCTCTCTCATCTTATCGCCTATTGGGGCCACACCTAAACTTTTCCGAATGGATTCATTTCGGATTCTATTCCTTCTTGTCTTGCTACTCATCCATCTCAAAATCCTCATCTTTGCTACACTCATTTTATGGGTATATTGTTTTTTGTCCGCCCAACATTCTGCCCAATAAAGCAAAGCTGGTCTCACAACTGTCCTATAGAACCCTTCAGCTTCATTGGTATGCAGTGATCATATAAAATTCCAGTTGATCATCTCCACTTCGCCCACGCAGCTCTTATTCTATGTACGACATCTTCCTCAATCTCTCTATTTTTTTGGATTATCGACTTAAGGTATCGAAAGTGCGGTCTTTTTTGTACTTCCTGGCCGTCAATCTTAACTACTTCTACGTCTCTACTTCTATTACTACTAAACTTGCATTCTATATACTCTATCTTAGTTCGGCTAATTTTAAAACCTTTGGATTTTAAAGCATCTTTCCAGAGTTCTAATTTTGTGTTGACGCCGTTTGGGTCTCATCAATCAAAACTGCTGCCAATAAATGTATACGTGCTAAATTCAATTATATTCAATGCTTTTCAAATATCACATGTACTCCCATTTTTGTAAAAAAATCAATTCTTATTATTTTGTTTTCACGATTATATCTTATGTTGATACCATAAACCATAAACATTAGACCCAACCTAATATCAATGTTTGCTGGTTTTTGAATCCTTGCAATGACTTATTGGAGGTGTGTACCTCGAGAAAATAACCTTTTGAGCATTGTAAGATGCGATCTTCATTGCATCTTATGAGTTGATCTCTGAGAGTTGGTTATAGCACACCAGGGCCTTTATCATTATCTTACCAATATGAAAGAGGTAAATTTTTTTTTTTTTTAACTTCAATTTAGAAAATGAACACAATTAGCCTTATTTTACTAGCTGTAGTGTTATGAATTGGTGAATCGTATATTGCATTCAATTGCGGATTACAACATGATATATTTAACTTGGTCATAGCCCACTCCAAGATTGCAGGGATTCTAATTTTGGAATGTACAAGAACCTATATCTATAGGAAATTCAACTTGTGATGTCAATCACAATCCACAACTATATAGAAAATACAACATGTGATGTCAATCACAATCTATAACTATATAGAAAATACAGCATGTGATATCAATCCCAATCCACAGTTACGATATCACAATCCCAATTACCCAATACTCCCCCTTAAGTTGGCTCGTGAAGATCCGAACGCCCAACTTGCTGTGAAGAAATTGAAATTGCTCGTGACTTAATGCTTTGGTGAGAATGTCTGCTACTTGATGCTTAGTAGAGACGTGAGAGGTTTTAAGAATGCCTAAACGAATTTTTTTTCGGATAAGATGACAATCGAGTTCTATACGCTTAGTTCATTCATGAAACACGGGGTTGGCAGCGATGTGGAGAGCAGCAGGGTTGTCGCAGTATAGGAGCATTGGATGTGGGTGAGGTACACCTTGAAGTAAGGCTTTGAGCCACACGTGTTCACATGTAGCTACAACCATAGCATGTTACTCAGCTTCAACTGAAGATCGTGATATTGTTGGTTGCTTCTTAGTCTTCCATGAAAGTGGACAAGCACCAAGGGAAGTAAAATAATCGATAGTCAATCTCCGGGTCATGGGGTAGATGGCCCAATTGAAATCACAGTGAGCTATTAACTGGAGAGAGGAATTGGATGGGATTGTGATATCGTAACTGTGGATTGGGATTAATATCACATGCTGTATTTTCTATATAGTTGTAGATTGTGATTGATTACACATGTTGTATTTTCTCTATAGTTGTATATTGTGATTGACATCACATATTGTATTTCCTATAGATTTGGATAGTTTGTTGTACATTCCAAAATTAGGATCCCTGCAATCTTGGAGTTGGCTGTGACCAAGTTGTATGTATCATGTTGTAATACTCAATTGAATGCGATATACGATTCACCAATTCATAGCATGGTATCAGATGCACAAACTCGTGCACAACCTTGCAGTCACCGACTGCACACAAAACTTGCACAAACTCGTGCAAGGTGTGTAAAAAAAGAACAGCAACAAAGCACTGAATCTTGTAGAGAGAGAAACAAAGAAAAAGGACTCAGTAGAGAGAGAAAGAGTTTGCAACCTATCCGTAAACAAATAAGGCACCGCTGCTGCTACATGTCAAGGTGCTAGTGATTTCAGTACCTAGAGAAAGAGAGCGAGAGAATATCAACAGAAACCAAGTCAGGCAACTTGGTAGAACCAAGCTAGAGAGAGAAAGAAAACCCTCTCTTTCAAAGCATGTGTCAATGGGCATGCAAATTTTGGAAGGCAAGTGTTCATAGTGGATCGTGCCAAGCAAATTGCTATCTTGGGGCTAATCGTACCAAGCAAACGAGAGATGACGTTGGGGTTTGAAACAGTGGTCAATGCCCTAGTGAAAATGCTCGCAAACAACAAAGAGTCAACTTCGTGGCTTGCAACAAGCAAACTGCTAGCAAATCAACTGGTGGTCACATGCCAAGGAAGCAGCTAGGGATGGTAACTCTCCCTCTATGTCAAGCTCAGATCCGAGGTTCAAGAGAAGAGTAACAACCACTCTCTATGGAAGCTCAGATCCGAGGCTCAAGAGAAGAGTAACAACCACTCTCTATGGAAGCAGCAGTCTCACAAGCAATTGCCTATTTGGTACAACGCAGGGTAAGAATGGCCAAGGACAACGCAGTCACCATGGAAACACCAATGGCAAACTTCTCGATGAGATCATCCTCTGTTAGGTCAGAACCTCGGTGCTAAAGACTGAGCCATTGTCATAGACAGAGAGGATCACGAGCCCATATGAGATGGCTCTGATGCCATGTCATGAATTGTATGTTGTATTCAATTGAGTGTTACAACATGATATATATAACTTGGTCACAGCCAACTCCAAGATTGCAGGGATCCTAATTTTGGAATGTACAACAAACTATCAAATTCTATAGGAAATACAACTTATGATGTCAATCACAATCTACAACTATATAGAAAATACAGCATGTGATATCAATCCCAATCCACAGTTACGATATCACAATCCCAATTGCCCAATATGTAGGTTCTTCTTTTAATACGATACAAGTCGATATTACCAAAAAAAATATAATATACTTATTTTAACAATAACGGCATGAGGGTTGTTCTAATGGATCCCATTCTCCCATAGCGAAGGGGTTCATACCATTATGTAATAGCCGTAGGATTTTTCAAGATAAGCTCATTATTTACTCAGAATGGACACTGTGCCTGTTACTGTTACGCAACAAGGCTTGGGCAGGTATATTGTTATAATGGCTGTTATAAGCATTAATATAGTGTTTTGAACTGTGGTCAATGGTTATAGTTAATGTTTGCTTATAAAAATGGGGTTTATGGTTCTAAGTTCTGACCTCCAACATCCATTTAGTGATTGAAAGTAACATTTCTTTTTATGTAGTGATAACCATCTTTCGTTTTCTGTACTTTTTTTTTAAATTTTTTTAATGGTTACTTTCTCAGGTATGGCGAGATTGTTGATATCAACCTAATTAGAGATAAGAGTACAGGGAAATCTAAAGGTTTTGCATTTCTTGCATATGAAGATCAGAGGAGTACAATCCTTGCAGTAGGTTAGTAATTTATAAGCTATCCAAAACTTTTGACTCTCATTGTTTCTTCTTAAAGCATACTTGAAGTTCTATATTTGTGTTAGTTGAAGCTTGGAGAAAAAGCATTAGCTTCCACTTCCATGCACTGTTGACAGTTGTTTGTAACTTGAAGTTTATTGTTTATGCTAGTCTTATGGATCTATGTAGTTCCATTTCTACGGTTTTCAGATTTGAATTCTGTCCTTACCATATTTAGCAAATTGGAATTTTTGTATTTTTATTTTTTTTATTTTTTTATTTTCAAAATTTGACTTTTTTATGTTAACAGATTATAACTGCGACATTTTCAAAAAATATTTCCAAGCCAAAAAGGGTGTTCCAATGAAAATGTGTTCTCAAAAAATTAAAAATAAAATTAACTCCATAACCTATTCTCCAAGAAAAACACAACCTGGAAAAAAATTATACCTCCAAAAACGAAAAAACACCATTTCGAAGGAATAGCAAGAGACTCAATTTAAGGCTTGTGCTCGGTAAATCTTCTTTCTTTCTCTCTTTATCATTCTGTCTGTGTTCCTCTTTTTAAGTTTTCTCAGTTCTTCCTGGTGTGTCAAACTGTACAGGATTCTGATCTTCAGCTATAATTTACCTAAACATCAAGCCCTATAATATGAGATTTCATACATGGAATCATGTATTATATTCATAAATAAAAAGATTCATCATTGTTTTTGTTTTTGTGAAGTAATAAAGCGTGATATATGTGAACGAACTATGGTACTCACAAATGAAGTAACATTTTCATGGAAGCATTACTTATTGATGACTACTGTAAACTTTTTACTTTTTAGCAGTTTATACATATCCGATTTTTCACTTCATTTTATTGAACCCAATCCGATATTTTCATGATATTTTATTTACATTATTTTTGCCGGTCCATATCTTTTATCGGATTTGTTTGTTCTGACTTTTTTCTGGAACCAATTTAACTCCAATTTTTTTGGTGAGCCAATATATTATTATTCCCCGACTTGCTATGTAAGGTCCTTATATGTGAATAACAGGTTAAATTTGTTCCATACTTGTGATCTTCTTGCCATTAAAATGATATTCTTGCAGATAATTTTAATGGAGCTAAGGTTCTTGGGCGGATCATAAGGGTTGATCATGTCGCTGACTATAAAAAGAGACAAGAAAACGAAGAGGAAGAGGGGCTTAAAAGAGAGGCACGGGATCTTTGCCGTGCTTATCAAAAAGGCAATTGTAACCGTGGAGCCGCGTGCAAATTTTTACACAGTGAACAAGTAAGATTTTAAATGCTGATAAACAGAGAAACATGTGTGGTTTTTGATATCTGTGGTTTCCTTCATATATCTGCATGCTTATATATTTGCTGAGTCAAAATTATAAGTATTAAAAAAGACCCGGGGGGGGGAGGGGATGACCCAAGGGCACAGTTGATATTCACTGATGGGGATGACCCATGGGCACATTTGATATTCACTGATTAGCTTGGTAGGGTTATGTTCCATATGTGTGAGGCAGGCATGAGGTCCCTCTCCGAATGCAGGTTTAGGTCTCATGTTATGTGTAGAGTGTCTATTGTCATTACTATTCAGGTCTTAAAACTAAAAATAAAAAATTCATGAGGATTGATACCATGCATTCCTTTTTGAGGCATGCATAGTTTTACCATGGAAGGTAGATAAGATGATAATTATATAGATAAACAGCTTACTTTCTTTCTCCTAAATTGACATTATTTCTTATCCAACGGTAGCATGATACTTGTTTCATATATGGCTAGTGGAGTTTTTTTCGGTCATCAATATCTGTTGGTCCCTTTTTGAGTTGTTTCACATAGAGCTGCTCCATCTGGAACTTTGTTAAGTGGAAATTGTTTGATGATTAAGTTGCATCACCTGGTTCAACCCTGTTTGCTAAACACGATGATGACCTAGTTGGATTTCCCCAAACTAGAAAAAATTGGTTGAACCAAGTGTTGGTTACATTATTCTTTTGTTTTCCGGCAGTTGCCTTCAGTAGCAACTGCATAACTTGCAACTCAAAAACTAGGAACCACAGGACCCTAGAGTTGTTTTATGGTCATCACTACGGAGCAAAGGGATGTTGTAAGGTACAAATGACTTCCATTTTATTTAAGTAATACAGGACAAATATGACAAGGGTGTGGTTTGTATAGAGCCGAGGCTCTAAACAAACTAGAGCCCACCTTCGAATAGTGTCAAGAAATATGGTTTCAATACTGGAAAGTTTTGTGATAGCCTTGAATTATATTTTCTTCTTATACTTATAAAATTTAAAGCTTCAAGAATAGTGTAGATCGAGCAGAACTATGAAAACTTTAAAATCTTGAAAATTGACGGTCCAAAAATGCATAACAAGATGCACTATTTCCAAAACTTGAAATCCATTTTTTTGTCATGTCCATGCATCTTGATGTCGAAATGATCAATTTGATGATATTTGGGCATCAAAACAACTTCTTCTAGTGAAAGTTTTGAGGTGGGCTCTAATTTGATTGTTTAGAGCCTAGGCTCTATATAAACTTTTTCCATATCACAATCATTTTCAGTGTTCTTTTATATCCTCAATTCCTTTGGTGTGTGCTGAGGGGTGTGTGTGTGTGTGTGAATCCCAGGAAGATGCCAACACGAATTGGGCCAACAAAGACGGCGGTTCAAGATGGGGACATGACAAACATGATGACCTGTTGAAGAGCCATCGGGGACACGTTCGGAAATCAGAAGCTCAGCCACATAATTTGGTGCTTTCAAGATCTTCTCACAAGGATGACAATAGATCTAGTAGCCATGAAAACCGTGGAAATCGGAAGCATTCAATACGTTGAGATTGTGGAGCCTCTCTAAGTTCTAGATAGGGAAGGGAAAATTAACTAACGAGGATTATAAGAAGTGGTTGATTAATTGTAGAAGTTTTTTGGTGACGTCTTCGTTGGGCCCACCTCATTTACATGTACTGTATATCATATCATCTAAAGCAGGAAAGGAGTTTTTCTTTAGTGGAAAACTTCAGCAAACGAAAATTCTGACGAGAAATTCTTTCTTCTATAATTAGGTAAAAAACTAGTTTAGGAAATACTACTGTATAAATTGGAAAAATTCTGCCATCAGTGAATTGTTTCCAGTTCAATGTACTAGCACTTCAAATTCTTTGAAGATGCATTCAGTAGCAGTTTTGAGCACATGTACTATGCTTCCTTGGGAGCATAATCGTTTACTTCCACTCCCTCCAACTCGAAAGGATTTTTTTTTCAATCTGAAATTTTGGGAGCTACTTAAGAATTAGTAGATGATTATTGATAAAACAAACAGAAAAAGAAATTGAAATATAAGTTTTCTAATACTTAGATCAAGCCATCAAAAAATTGGATGGCCGGCATGCAAAGGGAATACCATGATGAAATTCTTTTATTGAGATGAGGTTATATCCCCAAAATTCTGTTTCTAATTTGTAAAAAATTCTATGTAGACCCACGGAAGTATATGGATATTAGACTCCCGAATCTTCCCTTCTCTGTCTCTTGTCAGGGAAGTTTAATGGAACTTCAATTGTCTTAGGTGGGTTGACCAAAATATTGCAAAACTTGCAATTAACTTATATTGCACACTAACCCCTGTTTATATATACGAGAAATGTGCCTTAAAATGAGGTAATTTAATAGTTTTAATCTATTACAGATACCTGATGAGATAAGGTGTCGAACTTTCGAATCCCTTTGGAATCCTATTTGTCGAAATCGTATAATCCACTTTTCATCGATTGTACTGGAAAATTATCACAACCGTAGAAAAGGTTATCTAACGAGTGATCAAAACGTTCATTTCATATTAAAACGTACATTATATGGCATGTCAATTGAGGCACTACATGATAAAAGAGAAACGTCGTCTCAAGAATGTTTTCATCTCATTATTTAGTAAAATCGAAAGATTATCGGACTCTTTCAATGCAGGATGAAAAATTAAATTTCGTGCGAGTTCACCTCATGAATTCTTTGGAAATCGTGTAAAAGCATTAATTCGGCTTCATGGTTCTCATACTTCATTCCACCTATACTTCATCTCATAAATTTCTGAATCGCACATGTTACTTTGTCAATCCCTGTCATTCGGGGGGTAGCTGTTTAGGCTATAAATTTGACCTAATCCTTCACTTGTCATGATACATTTGAGAAGCCTTACTTGTTCAAATTTTTCATAAAAATCAAGTATTGAACTCACATAAAATTAGAGTTTAATGCTTTGGTACTATTTAAAGTAACATGGATACATGTCTAATTATGACTCCCTCAGTCCAAATTTTGATTTTAATTGCATATTAACCTTAATTTGCCCATTACAAGACTCCCCAATGAATTTAAACCACTTGTGAGACTCTCCGGTGAATCTACTTCTTACACTGCTATGCTCTGGTACATTCAATACAAACCCCATACCACCTTTACTACTTACCATAATTCACATTTCCCGATACTTAAAACCCCATTCATTCTCCGAATATATCAATGACAAATATACCCCTCATTATTCCCTTTATTCTACAAACTTTGAGGTTCGAAGATTTACAAGCACATTTCAAATGACAACAAACACAGAACTTGCTAGATGGGTAAAATAGAAATATAGAACCCTCTCCTACAAGTTACTCCTGACAAAGAGATTACACTCTAATGACATGTTAAATAAAGCCATAACGAACATATGTTCTGGATGAGATGAACATTCCAGAAATACCGTGATGGTGCAAGATCACATGTCATCACCAAAGCAAGACACAAGGAATACTACACTATATCACAACTATATGACACAATCGAGAACTACTTATCGAAGTATTTGACGACTATAAATAGCTCTATCAAGGCAAGAAAGAAGAGATCAAAATCAATTGAGATAGAGATATCAAGAGATCGAGATTAATAGAGAAAGAAGTCACACAGAGAGAACATGTACACCAAGATATTTATGTGTGTACACCATTGTATATTTGTATGAACGAATACATACAAGCATGCATAACAACAAGAGTTACCTGCTAGTTCTTTCTTCTACATTTCTCTTTCTGATGTTCATCTGTGATACATTAAACAAAGGTATTTCATATCAAAATTGGATGAGACAATGAATGTAATTAATAAGGCGTTTGTGGATACTTTGGAACTGTTCGATCCCATAAACAAAATAAAGCTCTATTCACATATATACTTTGATGGAGTGATTGTTAAAGTTCTTTTAACTTTTTTTTTTGTGTCCATTTCATGTTTCAACTTAAAATCACCCTAATAGTCTCATCCCGTGATAATGTTTGACAAAGTGTGAAACATTTCATCGAGGGTGAGATCTGAGTGAGTCTTTATGATCCTTGTATACACCAAGAGGGTCTTAGTCTAGAGGATATGCTGGAACATAGCCTAAAGGCAGTTAGATCTATATCTTAAGCTAGTATTGGAAGTGGGTGGGCATAAACGTGCATGTCCAGGTCTCCTTCTCCAGAGAACTTGTTCTTGGCTTCTGGCATTACAAATCCCATCAGTAAACCCTCGAGATTTCATAAGCTTTCTTGTATGCAATCCTTATGTCGGAATTATGTCTTATCAAAGCCTTAAAATTGTGATATTTAAATAGCGATTAACTTTAATGGAGTAATAGAGCGACATGACTCTAGGATCTTGGCATACTGGGGCCCAGAGTCATAGAAAACCGAGTGAGTCATGAGGAGGATTTGAATGCATGGAAGGTCCTGAGAGGATTGAAGGTTACCTCTTAATAAGGCTCGGTTGTTAATTTTTTGTGTCTCATGACTGTGTGCTGGATCAGGGCTATGTGATTTATGTGATTGATGATATGAGCTTGATGATAAAAACAAGGTTAGGGCCAACAATGGGCATTCGCCTAAATCCTTGACTCTTAGATCTGTCTTGTAGCATTTGCATAAACATTACAATGTATAAGAATCCTCTTTTAAGCGGTGCACCTGAAATCTACTAGTATTTGGGGATTTAGGGTCACTCATTGGTTTTAATTTGATAAGATATATCATGAGCCTCTAATTATATACTGTAGGTCATGAGTTTTTTGGGTCATACTGAGAAGGTGTCTTTGTATTCTAGGTTAAGAAAAGTGGAGTGCTTCGATTCTTAATTCAACTTCAAATGATCTTAATTTCCCTTGTAAATGTTTTTAAATAGTGTTAAAATAATTTATTTTGATGAAAAATGATTAAAATATTTTTTTGGATTTTTTATATTTTTTTTGGATTTTTCTAAGCAAGAAAACGAGTTTTTCATAAATGTTTAAAAATGACAAACAAGGATGGTACTCTAGGACCCACACGGGGCACCCAAATGGCTAATGGGTGTCCACGTGGAGGCCTAGGGGGTCCCACATCAGCCCCACATAGAGGATGATGTCAAGGTGACCCTCTGTCCTTTGTGTTTTTGTTATTTAAGTTAGGACATTTAGTTATGCCAATTTGTAATATTTTGCAAATTTGGATTTGAGTACATATTAATTGTGAAAAACAAGTTGTTTGTGCACATATGTGAGCCTTCTATAAGGGGCATAGGGTTTGAAATTTCAATTTAAACCCTGATGTTATGTGGTAATTGAGCACTTAACCAACTAGCTTATGTGTCATGATCTAATTAACCCCACATGCTCTTATAAAGTGAAGGTAAGTTTTAAATTTGATTTTTATTGGAATTTTTGACAAATTACCTCAAGGGTATACCCTCCATTGGTTTTAACTTCAATTATGTAAAAAGAGCATAGGATTAAATTCTACTTTGATCCATACAGTCTAAACCCATCATCCATGCACGAATTGATTTAGTTTCTATGAGCTTTTCCATGAGATTTTTGGAGAATTATTGACTGATATTTCTTTGATATTTTTTTACTTCAAAATCAATCAATTGAATCATATTTTTATGGATCAAGTTCATAAGAGGAGATTATCCCAAATTTGCGTGGCACAATTTGTGAACTCATAGATTTGGTTTGTGACTTGTCTGCCATGCTCTATCCCATGAGTGCTACTTGTGTTTTGATATTTTGATATCTACAAATCCTTCCATGTTTCAAATGTATATCAGTAGATGCTTGGCTTCCCATTTGTGATATGATAAATTTGGCTGAATTTTGAGAAATACAATTGCACGTCACTCTATGGTATATAACTATGACTCAAGGCCATAAACCGGGCACTTGAGAACTCCGATCTGCTTCCCATAGATATGTTGCATTATTCACTTGAGCATATGCATGTTTTAATATTAGGATCGTTATTTCTTGAGTTTAGTAAAGTCATTTGATGTATAATTTTGCATCATAAAATTGAATCGTGCATAGTTTTTAGACGCACCCCATAATTGTCTAGTTTGATGATTTCCATTGGTTTGTTGATAGACAATGGATCCTAATTGAGTTGCAATTTCTTATTTTTTAGTGTAAAAGACATTTTTTGTTCACTGTAAAGACAGTCATTTTACTGTAGTTTCAAGTTAAGCTTAATTATATTGAATTGTGCAAGGTTTTGAGTTGGATTGTCATGTATTTGTGACATATTTCAAATGCAAGTCCATGTAATTTGGTTTCTGTAGACTCTCAAGTGGTATCAGTGCCAAAAATCTAAGTGTGGTCCATTTGTCATTTAATTGGGCCGTGCCTATTATTTAGGATTTATGGGTAGGTTCATATAGGTTAGGATAGACATATGGGTCTACAAGTTGAAAAGGATAAAGTTAGAAGTCCATAAAGATTAGGAAAAGTTATGAAGGCCATCACGTACCACTTTTAGGGGGTCTTTCTTTTCTCAATTTAAGTTGCTTTTGTAGAGAGAAAAAATACCATAAAAATGGAGAAAACTCTTGAGTTATTTCGTAGAGAGAAAATTGTAGAGAAAAGAAGGCTTGATGGGAGGATTAAGTTCAATGTCTCTGGTTCTCTCAAGTAAGTGCTTTGTAATTTTTTTTCTTTTATTAAATGGAAAACATCGACCGTCTTCATCCCTGGGCGTAGTCACATCTATGACGAACCACTTAAATTCTGGTGTTGTTTTTTTATATATTTCTTTCATATTTTATTTTTCTTACTTGTTGCCTATTCTATTTTTCTCGTACTTTATTTGACAAAAATTAACCTGGAGTGTTTAGAGCTTCCGCACACAACAAGTGGCATCAGATCTTGGTTTGAAGTTGTCGATATGGCGGTAAAGGTTTCA